GTGGAGGTACAGAAGATGAGGGATGTAGTCGGACATGGGGACGCAAAGGGACATGGGGACATAGGTGGACATTGATGACGTGGGGGCACGGGGACACAGATGAGGGACATAGTGGGACGTGGAGGACATGGGGACACAGAGGGACATGGGGACACAGGAGATGAGGATGTAGAAGAGCATGGAGGACATGGGGACATAGGGGGACATGGATGACATGGGGACATAGAGGGACATGGGGGCACAGAGGGACATGGGGGCATAGGTGGACATGGGGATGCAGAGGGACATGGGGACACAGGAAATGAGGGACATAGATGGACATGGAGAGATGGGGATGCAGAGGGATGTGGGGACATAGAAGGACACAGAGGACATGGGGACTCAGAGGGACATGGGGACACGGAGGGACATGGGGACATAGATGGACATGGAGGACGTGCGGACATGGAGGACGTGTGGACATGGGAGGACATGGGGACACAGAAGAACATGGAGGACATGGGGACATAGGTGGACATGGATGATGTGGGCACATAGAGGAACATGGGGGCACAGGAGATGAGGGTCATAGTGGGACATGGGGACACAGAGGGACATGGGGACATAGGAGGACGTGGAGGACATGAGGATGCAGAGGGACATGGGCACACAGAAGGTGATGGGGATGTAAATGGACATGGGGACAGGGGGACATGGGAGGACATGGGGGAGGTGGGGACGCAGAGGGACATGGGGACACAGAAGAACATGGGGACACAGAAGGAGATGGGGACATGGGGACATAGATGGACATGGATGATGTGGGGACGCAGAGGGACATGGAGACACAGGAGATGGGGGACATAGATGGACATGGAGGACGTGGAGACGCAGAGGGAGATGAGGGACGTAGTGGGATATGACATAGAGGGACATGGGGACACAGAAGGAGATGGGGTTGTAGATGGACATGGAGGACATGGGGACATGGGGGAGATGGGGATGCAGAGGGGTATGGGGACGCAGAAGAACATGAAGGACATGGGGATGCAGAGGGACATGGGGATGTGGGGACATAGAGGGACATGGGGACGCAGAGGGACATGGGGACATAGGAGGACATAGAGGACATGGAGACATAGAGGGACATGGGGACGCAGAGGACATGGGGTATACCCAGGTGTAGCAGGACATGGGGGTGTCCCCTCATGTCCCCGGGGAGGGTGGCAGCGTGACCCCGGTGCAGCCGGTCCCTGCCGGGTCCCTGTGTGTCCCCAGGGTGTCCCTGGGGGGTGACAGCCTCTCCCTGGGGATGGGGTCCCCGGGGGTGGCAGCGTGACCCTGGGGTGTCCCTGGGGGTGTCCCCTTGTTCCTGGGGGGTCATGGGAGTGTCCCTGGGGTGTTGCCATGATGTCCCTGGGTGACCCTAGGGGTGGCACTGTGTCCCCGGGCATGTCCCCAGGGGTGTCCCCATGACCTGGGGTGTCCCTGGGTTGTCCTTGGGGTGTCCCCATGACCCAGGGTGTCCCTGGGTTGCCCTTGGGGTGTCCCCAGTGTGTCCCCAGGGGTGTCCCCATGACCCAGGGTGTCCCCATGACCCCAGGTGTCCCTGGGTGTCCCTAGGGGTGGCACTGTGTCCCTGGGGGGCATCCTCAGGGGTGTCACCATGACCTGGGGTCTCCCTGGGTTGTCCTTGGGGTGTCCCTGGGGTGTCCCCATGACTGGGGGTGTCCCCATGACCCAGGGTGTCCCTGGGTTGTCCTTGGGCTGTCCCCAGGGTGTTCCCATGACCCGGAGTGTCCCTGGGTGTCCCCAGGGGTGTCCCCATGACCGAGGGTGTCCCTGGGTTGTCCGTGGGGTGTCCCCAGGGGTTTCCCTGGGTTGTCCTTGGGGTGCCCTCATGACCC